ATACAGAGAATGTAACCTGTTGATTAATGTGTATTTAACAAGACATCAAGAACACATTTTCACCAATAAGACGACAAACTGTATTTCTCATGCAAAGGCTGCTGAGTCAGTCATACATGACAATTGTGCAGCTGTCTCTGCCACCAGATTTCTTCCCTGTAATGGAACTCTCTCATCCCTGATTAACATCATGACACATTCTTGTGTAAAAGATGCAAAATTACATGCTACAAGGAGAACAATTAATTTTGATTTGATACCACAGGAGGAAAAGTGTGAAGCAGAACTGAACAGCTTCCACTGGCTTCCATGTCTTTACAGGGGAGTAGTATTTCTGTGGGGAAAGTGCCTTCTCCATTACAGATTCTCAGCAACTTTGCATATATCAGGGAAGGGTAATAGTTTGGCATACTTGAGCAGAAACACGATAATTTAATGAATGTGCCTTGAAAACAATAGGTGTTTATATACATGCTCTGGGAGTGTGGTGCGGAGGCGGCGCTTTAATTAGAGTGGCTCAGAGAGCTGCTCTAATTAAAGCACTTGGAGTGTCATGTCAAACAAGCTTCAGTTAAAGTGCCCCTGTTGCCATTTTTCAGCACATGGATGCTGATGCATGTGATGCTGGAATCTGTTGGAGCATGGTAATTACTATGCTCCAGCAGACTCCATTAATTGAGTCTGCTCCAACACGTTGTAACTACAGCATTTTGGAGCAGCCTCGCTGCACATGTATAGGCACCCAATAATTCTAAGAGATCTTTTGGTAGGATCATCTGTGTATAAAACTCTGCAAACTAATGACTTCTTGATGTCTGTCTTTTCTCTACGCTGATAAGAAGGTAATAAGGTAAAGTAAGAAAAGATTGAAATGATTCCTATTGCACCAGTATAGACTAAGCAGGAATGGTTCCCAGATCTGCTTCATTTCTCAGCAAGAATCTATCATGTGTCCTTTGACACTTCAAATCTCCTGACTCAAAAATGGTTGAATGTATCATCTAGACATAGGCTCCTCGAACTCTCACTGTGTGGGCAGTGGGTTTTAACACAGACTTGTTTCACAGATGTTCAGAAGATTAGTTTAACTAAAAGGAAGATTCAGTTGAGGAGTCTTACAATATAAAACATGAAAGTATTATACTTTGAGAACACAACAGCAATATATTCTGCCACTCCAGGATGTAGCATATTGAATATGGTATTGAGTATTAGCTGCAGCATAAGATCTCAGAACTGTCACTATCATCAGTTAAGGTTCATTTATCAGTCCTATTGTCCTTTAGATTGTTCACTGAAAACAAATTGGTGTTTGCCTGTGAAACAGTGGTAAAACATTCTAAGAGGTCTCAGCAATAGCTAGCACCTTATTTGATGTCCTTCACCTTTAGGGGAGCTTAATTTAGTTTTTGAACAACTAATGAAACACATTTGAACCAATGGGAGAAATTATTGATTAAAATAATATTATTGCTTCAAATCACATCTGCAAAAAAGCAAATGAAGTATAAGCACTCATGTATAATTTTTCATAAGGGCAGAGTCCTACTGCATCTTATCTTGGATTTCTCCTGATGGTAGTCATAGATTTTTCACATCAGTCACCCTATCTGTGTAAGTTAACATTCACACATGGTGAGTGTGAATCAACCTAAACTTGTATGCATGAGTTATAGGTTAACATTCTGATTCTGATAGCAGCTGATTTTAGCAAGGTGCTAATACTAGGTAATACCATGAGTGTAGTACAATGCTTTTTGCACTTGGTTTTGGAGTTTGATTTTACTATGTGGCCAATTCCGTTAAGTAAGACACTGTAAATGGATTTAATTGCAAATGCATAATCTATTTCAGTAACATGCATATTAATATTTCTGATGCATCGTCTCACTCCTCCTTGGAATTTTAATTGGAAGTCAAAGCTGAGAAGGTAGTGGGTGAATCTGAGGAAGCTGCTGTGCCACATCCTTTTTATACTCTCATCCACAACGTTAAGGAACAGAGTGTAAAGAATGTCCCAGTGGGTACTGTTGTTAAAAGCTCCATTATCAGAGTGACTCCTGGCCACTCCATTTATGTGTACGATTATGCAAAGATTACCTCAAAGACTTCTGGTTATAAATACCGTAATACCTCTTTTTTCTGTTTGTGGTAAGGAGGAATATAAGAATATCAAACTATAATTAGATTACAAGTTGTCCCTTGCCTATTTTATCCTATTAATGCAATTTTCTAACAATGAGCTATCAACATCTGATTTCTGGTAGTGCTTTTTGTTACCAATGGGTCCTTCCCTAATTCTGTAACTTCTTTTGGCTGTAACCTGATAAAATCACTAGGGGCTTGGGGATAGTTATATCTTAGTTATTTTAAAAAATCTGTTTAATTGTTTTAAAACATCCTTTTCAGGGTATTCCCAGATTTTAGGTTCATATTCCTCTACATCCTCCTTAGGATTTACAACTTCCTTTTTTATTTTTATTTGTTGTAAATTTTCCTTAATTTAAATGGAGTAGAGAACAAATGATTAGGAATAATGTGTTTTATATATTATATATTTTAATTGCTAAACCAATACATGAGGCTTTGGTTTTCCTTTAGATATTAACTCATTATTACAAATTCATTATGCTATGCAGAGATTAGGGCCTTTCAGATGGTATTTCCACTAAAGTTTCTATCTATGTTTATGGCTTCTTGAATCTTGATTTTTTCATACATGCAATTTGGTATAATGCAATGGGTGCAAATAAGCCAATATTATACTTGTATTACCCATGGATTCTTTCTTTGTTGGTATTCATTTTCATAATTTGATCATTATGAAATAGCTGCTGGCAGTGAAATTTGTTCTCTCCCTCAGCTAATATTGTCTGCCACTGTACACTATCCAAGTATAGCTTATTGACCCTGCCAAGAGTGATTAGCCTTTAGAATCATATCTTTGTACTGGTTAACTTTTTACAAGCATTGGGCTGAATCCCAAGAGTTGGTTAGCATCTCCAAGTCATAGCACCTCTCTCCAAAATTTGGCCTACTTACATTATTTAGAACTGATGCAGAAGAAAATATGTCACTACTGTTATGTGCATTTTAACTTTAATCTGTCTCTTACTAAAGTTTAGTCTCTTACTACAAGATACCATGAGTTTTTATTTCTATTTACCAACATTCTAGCAAGACACAGCATTTTTTAAATTGTTAAATGTCAAGTATTGTGTTTAAATTATTTCTCCAGGGAGTTACAGTGGAGTAGTCTTATACTTTGATTTCTGAGTTGGTATGAGGAGCTTAATTTCTTATTAATATGATTAAGCATATGTAGTGTCTACTGTAATTACTTTTAAAGAATGTCATATTCCAGTTGATTTTTCAAAGTTAGGAGTCTGATTGGTTGTCAAATTCTATGATCATTGTTCTTTCTCCCAGTGAAATATTGTCCATTTACAAGAAGAAAACAAAGATTAATAAAGACTAATTCATGTAATGCATTTAATGCACTTTGAAGATTGGGGAAGTTGCTGAAAATTGCATGGAGTTCTTAAAATGGTTTTGGTGGAAAGAAATATAGTTCCTAATGCTGAACAACTATTTCTTGTTGGGTTTTTTTCTTGGCATTACAGTAGGGTGGCTGTGTGTTGAATAACATTTGCCAGCTCTTGTGTGGTGACCTTTCTACACTTTATTCTTGTCTCTAGTGTTTGGAAAAAAAATGTTATTTTGATGGAAATCTCTGATTTAACATAATCATCCTTCAAAATGAATTTGTCCTTTTTTCATAGACTGAAGACGCATTATGCATCATATGAGCCAATGTTAAGACAGTTGACTGAAAAATACCAGGCTGTATTGAGACAGAAAATGCTAACCAGTTTGGAAAGAGACAGAGCAATTGGGCAGGTAAAAATCTGCTTAACTACATCTGGCAGCTGGTTCATATTTTTTATAAATGAATAGTAGAATTTAAAGAAGATTATTTTATTGAGTTTCATTTGACTTATTAAAACCATTAGAACCATTTGTTCTCTTGATGCTTTTATTTTCTGAATCTTTAATGCTTTAGGATAATATGGGCAGAAGGAAAATTCAAATCACATTTGCCTTCCAATGTCCTGCATGCGTTATGTGACTGAAGAATCTTCAGCATGCTTATGACTTGCAGCTGGGAATAGCACCAGAGTGGACACATCAGTATGTTTTTGGGTTTGAAGCATGTGAGCAGGACTGCATGGGCAGGGCCTGCCTGGGGCTGTCTTGCCCAATATATGCTGCCATCATAGTGTAGACCAGTAGTTCTCAACTGGGATACCATGGCTCTTTGGGGTGCCATGAGGCTGTGGTGACAGCTAACAGGTAAAACTGCCTTGTGCACTCCTTCAGCACTAGGGTTTTCTAATCAGCCTAAAGTAGGGAAAAAAGCTGCCTTGTGCTATGTAGCCTTTCATGGTCCGGTGCCTGCAACACTCCTCCTGGAAACAGAGGCATGTATGCAACTGGTCTGTCTGCTTCTTTTTCCAGACTGCAACACAGTATTAAGCTGGCTGGATACTAAGAATACTGGTATTAACTGTATGACTCTATAAACTACCTAATTCCTGAAATTCTTCCTTAGCACTATAGGTGATAATGACCCTCCTCTTTTTTGATACGTTTTGATCTCCCGTTAATCAAGCTTGTCTTTTGTTATTTGTCTGTTACCCCTGGGGATCTCTCTCCTCCAATTTCATAGCCCAACACAGTTTTTAATCATTTCTGTGCCAGCTTCTTCCCTCACAACTGGTAAAGAATGCCTTACATTCAAAGCTTGTCTAGCCTTATTCCAACCATGCAGCTGGTCCAATAAAAGTTATTATCCACAAAAATCCTTGCTTCTTGCATAATTCGTGGATCATCATGGCTACAACATCACTTCAAAACTATAAAAGCGTAGTAATGGTGGGGCTGCTGTATACGGGGACCATTAATTATCATGGAGATAATATTGTCTCATTGAGTCCATCTGTTACCTCTTATTCTGTATTTAGATTGTAAGCGCTTTGGGGCAGAAGCTGTTATTTTCTTGTTTACAATGCTTTGCACAATGGGTTCTGGTTCATGCTTCAAGGGAATAAAAGTAAGTGTACAGAATATCAGCAAAAGAAAACTATGACTACAGACTCCTGGAATTTTTCTTCTTTACTAAGGATAGATTTACAAAGAATTAAAGTGCTTTAAAATGATAGTGCTTGATGGATGATCCGTTGTTAACTGTTCTGTCTTTCCAATCTGTTCCACTTGAAATGGAAGTTTGAACTACTGGAACCTTTTAATGGTTAAACTATTTAATTCAGGTTTAAAGTAACAGCTGGCTAGTTTTCTGATACTGGTATAGGAGAGGACAGATGAAACAGTTAGGTTAGTTCAGCCACTTTGTGCTTTCAAATAGTAAGTCCCTACTAGCTTTTAAAACAGATTGATATTATCTTAATGTTGCTATCATACTACCATATTAGGGTCTTGAACCAACCTGGTACTGTCGAGGCTGGGTCTGGCAATCAGCTGATCATCAGACCTGGCCTGGACAGCCCAGGTCTGGAACCAGCTGTGGCCTGCCCTGGATCTGGGACAGTGCTGCCTCTGTGTGATTTGCAGGATTGGGCAGGGGTAGCTCAGCAGTGGTGCAGTCAGGCCTGGAAGAATTTTATGCCTCACACCAAATATCAGGCTTCCTGTCATGCACATCTGGCATAGAACAAGGCCTTTTCAACAACGTCATCTTTGTAATAATAATTTTGCCTGTGTATTTGTCAATGAGCCATCAGCTGAATTATGACTTAATTATACCAAAACAATAGAAGTACTTTAATTTTGGTAATATATTGGTCTTTATGGTAACAATACAGGAAGCTAACCTTAATGCCTAGATGATTGCCAAAATGTGTTTAAACAAGCAAATTAGATGCTACTAAACATGTTTAAGCAAATAGAAAGGTTTAAAGAAATATATTACCAGTTTTTATTAGCATTAGGTACTTCAAAACATACCTTTTAGCACTGTAGTATCAGTATGTCGGGGGCCTGGCCTTCTGACATCATTGATAACTTGCAAAATATTTAGCTCAGTCCTAGCCGGTTAGACAGTATATATTATACGTGGAATACTCTTGACACTTATGTTTCCTGAAGTAGTGGGTATTACACACATTCCTTTGTCCTCCCTATGGAAAATTAGGGTTATAATTTCACTGTAATTTCACTATCTTTGGCTCCCCCGACCCCCTCTTTTTTCTTTTTTTTTAATATTACTTGATTTATAGATTTATGTGCATATCACTCTGTCCCTTTAGGAGACGCAAAGAACTGTAAACAAAGTTGAGACGCAATGAGAATGAAAGACTATGTAAAGGAAAATGTCAAAAGGAAAAGGGTTATTGCCAAAATATTGACACCAAATGGAAGGTGTCTTCAAACAAACAAAAAAATCCAACTTGTAGAATTATCAAATGATCAAATGCTACACTACTAGATGATGAATATTCTTTAATGTGCAACACCATATTTTATGGCCAGTTTTATTGTAACAAAACAGTTTGCCATATTATGTCATAAAGTTAACTTTTAATTCAGTGAGAGATTATGGTGAAAAGGTGATAACACAATTCCCTGTAATGTCTCTGTTTCTGTTGTTTCAATAAATCTGGAAAATTCCCACCAAGAGTTCTGCAGAAGTTTTCTATTTTATTGTTCAGCCATATATATTTTTTAAATATTAGCTATGTTTGGCAAGGTTCCTGAAAAAGGAACAGAATGATATTAGCAATTTAAAATCTTTGTATAATTAAACGGATAGTGAATTAGGTAACTAGGTGGTTATATGTAGTAGTTTTTGCTTAATTATGCATGTGTATGTGTTGTATCATTTTCCGTAATTGTGGGTAAAAAGAAATATGAAGTTTTTGTAATAACTCTCTTGTTCTTTTTTTATTATTCCTTAGGTTACAGGTTTACAAGCTACATTACAGAATTTAGAATCTGGGCGTGCCATTGAGGTCCCTGTGACAAGAGGTAAAATATTCACTTAAATACAAATGTTACATATCTTTCTTATGATGTGATTTAGCTTTTTGTATATATATATTGAAATGTTTACATTTCAAATGTTTTGCCAGCTAGTTTGATGACAAAGTTATGGACTAAAGCAGCAGTTCTCAGCTGCGGCTCTGTGGCTTGCAGGGTGGCAAGCAGGCTTAAGCGGGTCCGCCAAGCCTGGCCTGGCATGCGGAGGAGCTGCCTCAGCCCCTAGGGCTGAGGCAAGTCCTGAAGACAGGGTGGGAGCTGGCCTGCCCTGTCTGATCCCACAGCCTCTGTCTTGTGGGTGTCACTGCGGGATGGTGGGTGAGGCTCTGCCCTGCTGCTGCTTAGGTGAGTGGGGTCCTGGGGCTTCCCACTCACTGCACCCTGGGCCATGCGGGCTGAGCTGGGGAGCCGGGCAGTAGTTGTGGCACAGGTAGCCCATGGAGTTTTATAGCATGCTAGGGGGGAGCCTCAGGCAGAAAAAGGTTGAGATCCTGTGGGCTAGAGATTCTGTTTTGCAGCAATGTCTTTTAAATATTTACTCTCGTGAGTAGTTCCATGAAAGATAATGAGACTGCTTTTAGCAGGAAGGATTGCTTGTATGTGTAAATGTGGAAGAATCATGCCCCAGAAACTGTAGTAGTTTTATGAAAGTCAGTGAAAAGGAAGCAGATAGGACTGCTTTGAAAACCCCCCAATGATTTCTGCCCCCTGCTTTTTGCTTTTTTGGACTCCTGCAGAAAAAAACCCAACAAAACAAGGTCTGGAAAGAACCGATTTTCCACATCTTCAATTTTTGTCTCCTAAATACCGTATATGAATGAGGGATAGGGGTGGAGTAGGGCAACAAGTATTTCTATAAGCTTATTTAATACTATGTTGAATTTTTAACTGTCCTCCAAATCCTTTTCACCTGAGGATATATTAATGCGTTATATTTTATTTTATCATTCAGATTTTAGCAAATAATCTTTGATATGTTTCCTAACACATCTGAGACATAGTTATCTGAATGAAGCCTTCCCAGTTGCTCTCTTCAGGCTAAAATTGTAAGCTCTTGTTCAGCCTCCCTCCGGCCCAAGAATTCACTTTCCTTGGCAGTTTGCTAAAACCAAAGTTCAGCAAGCTGTAGACCAGACTCTACTTGTTTGCTTGTTTGTTTTTAATATTTTTCTATTCTGTTTAATTGAGAACATAGCTGCTTACATTTCTGGAGGGATTTGCAATGGTTCTGTAATGTTACCCAGTGTACTATAGGTATACTAGTTTAAGTTATGGTTTTAATTTTGTACAGAAGCGAGTATCTATTGAACCAATAGGTTCAGTGTGGATCAATAAAATAAATAAACCACAGATATATTGGTATAATGGAACACTATTTTGTAGTATATAATCAGTTTTTTTCACTATTCATAATAATTTCTGATATTCCAAGAATCTGCAATTTTTTTCCTTAAAACACTCTGGAAGCCCCTTAAAGGATGTCCTTTTGTGGAATGCATTCACTGGACCTGTTCCATTGTACTCTTGCAATCTTGAACTACAACTAACAGTGTGAACATTTGTATGAATAGAAAATAGAATGCTCATTGCTTCATCACATAGCAGACAGGGAAATAGAGAATAGGTGTTTTTATTTTATGCTGGTTTACAAGATAAGTTTAGTAACATCCAACTATTCTTTGTGCTGTGGCTTGAGGCTCTGGAGTGTGGGTTCTACTTCTGCACCAGTGTTTTATATTATGGATGCCCCATCTGTCTCCTAGTCATATTATACAATACTTTCATTTGTTGTTTGAATGATTCCAGGAACCATTCTCCTGCTGTTCACAGTACTTGTTTATTCTCCAAAAATCTCAAGAGCACTTTATAATAGCAAAAGTGACAGGCAGAGGAATGCTTATAAATAAATAATATCACTTTACATTTCTAGCGCAAATTATTAAACAGATCAGCCACCCACATGCACATATAAACCTTAATTTATCTCATATCCAATGTATCATATTCCAAGTGATATTTCATTTCATTATCTTTTAGCACCACAGACTCCCATAATTCATACATTTTATTGCACTTCTACAGGTCTCACTTGTATCTCAGTGGGAAATTTCCTATCTTTTTCAGATGCTTTTTGTTGCACATTGAAAGATAGGTAGCATGTTCTGTTGTCTCTTGAAGAGGTTTATGAACACTGTAACATAATTTAAATCTTAAGAGGGAAACATATGTATAGGTACAAACTGGATAAATTTTGGTTGCAATATTTTCTGAATTATAATATGGTATTCAATAAGGAGCTATTGTAAAGAATGGAGTTGATAAGCTTACTGCAGCCTGTGTTGCTTAGGATGTCCACCACTGTATTTTGTACCAGTTGTAGTTACTTCAGGGCTGACAGTTTCATGTCCAGATATATTACGTTGTTACTTTCCAAACAGGACGCAACTCTGGCAAGTTACTGTCAAAGATCAAAGTCTTTGATTTCAGATGCCGATG